TATTACAAATATACTCCTATATTTAATAACTTTTTTATTGAGTGTTGACGATGTGAAATAAATCTAAATTTACTTTTTATTGTATTTTTTTATTAGTTTTATATTTATTCTCTACTTTTAGATTCGAGGATTCAAAATTCATTTAAAATCGGTGTTTTTAAGGGTTCTTATATACTAAAAAGTTCCAAAACAATATTCTACTTTTTAAAAATTCATAAATATTGAGAAAAAAATATTATAGTTTATATTATTTTATTTTATTTTATAATATTAATAGATATTTGTAATAATTATATAGTTCAGTATATCACAATATTTAAATACATTGTTTGAACTTTTAATCAGCTTGCACTTATGCGCTTTTTCATTTTCTTTTACAAGTAAGAAATAAATAATTGGTGGGATAATAAATAATATTTCAGAGAACTTTTTACTATTTAAATTGTTAAATTTATTCAGATATAATATATGCTTACTACTGCTATTATACATATGTGTGTGTGTTTTATGCGGATACCTCTTTTCTTTAAAGTTCAGTTTTAATTAGTTTTGTTGTGTCTTTTGGATGTTTTTGAAAGAAATTTATGGAGGACCGTCGAGTTTCTGTCTTCCTTGAGGATGAGTTACGGTATGTATTGTCTGGATTTCTCTATCTAGTTGCCGAAGTTGTTGGTTCTAGGATTGCTCCACCTAGTGATTGTATTGGATATAGATTATTTTTCACTCTTGTCTGTTCCACTAAATATTTCTATTATTTTCGAAGCTTAAACTGCTTTGATGATTTCTTACAACTGTCCGTTTTTAATAAATAACATTGGCATTGAATTATTATTTTACACTCTTGTTAGTTTTTATTTTTAATTATTTTTACGTATAAAAATTTGGTTGCATAATATTATCTATTAAAATTCTTTGATTAATTAAATGTATTAAATTAAATAAATTACATATATTCGTTAGTTGCGTTTTGATTCGATGCTATTATGTCGAATGTTTAATTATTGTATCTTGATTAATTCTTCCGCATTTCAATTAAATTAATTGAATTGTATATAATCAAATAAGTGTTAATTAGATTAAATTTTTTTTTTTTTTTTTTTTTTTTTTTTTTTTTTTTATACATATTTCCTCGTCAATATTTTAAATTAGCTAATCAGTTGAGAATTTTAAATACTTAATCAAACAGCACTGTTATCATTTAATATATTTAGTCATTTTTCGTTAAAATTGTCTTTTAATTATAGCAATAATATTAATTTTTGTATTTATAATTGAATAATTCATTTGTACATTATTGTCTTCTCCCTTATTTAACTAAGCAATTAAAAAGCGTTTTACCATAGTTTCATTCCTTTTATATTCTAAGTGATCGGTTCTTTATTTTAGTCTCTCTTCTTTTAATTTCTCATTTTAAGCCCAAAACAAAGAATTTGTGTAAATAAGCCCTTATTGGACTTACTTAAAAATGCAGTGTTCGCCAACAAAAATATCTAAATGACTTCATATTTCAATTAAATATAATTTTAATTTTTATACTATTCTAATTTATACAAAATTTTGTATACAAAAACGAAACCGTTGCCGACAGAATTTGCAGTTTGTTTTATCGCGCTTTGTAAATCGTTAAAAAAAATAGTCTAAATCTGGTGAACGACTATGAATGTTGAAAAATTGAACGTTCCAAAAAGCAATAATTACCGTCAATAAAAAATCATTAGAACACAGGGCTCTTATAAAGTTTCTTTCCCTTTTTAAATTTTATTTCATTCAATAGCTCATAATAAAGTTCCTTTTTATTCATCTCAATAAATAATTTATATTATTTTTAACAATATATATATATAAAAAAAAAAGTTAGACTATTAAACTAGATAGAACTAGATAGAATATCAATGTTTTTTTGAGTTTAAGACATTAATATAATTGCTTAAAGAGGACAAATTAGGAAAGTACTAGAATCGTTTGATAATTCACTGTACTATTCAGTGGATAATATCATATGTCTAATATTGTAAAAAATATTATTTCCATATACAATTAGATGATTTTATTTCGTATTTATTTATAAATTAGTATTTCATTATTTTATGTACATAATTTTTCTTACTCGATGTATAAACAAATATCAATAAATTATTTTTAAAAATTAATAATTTCATAATTAATAGTGCTTCACATAGACTATTATACTTAATTTTATTGTTTTCTAATGCACTTGAAAATAAATATTTATTTATACATAAATTATTTATTATAAAATATTATGGACTTATATAGTAAATAATCACTATTACTTAGCCACTTATAGAATGGGAGTTTATGATGGTAATTTACGATGCGTATGTAAACTTAAAAAAAAATATCATATCAATATATTAAAATATTGACAGTTAATATTAATATTTTTTATACATTTCTAATTACAATTTGTCTTAAAAATATTTTTATAGATACTTTCGAATACCCTTACGTTCTTTCCTGTTAATCTTTATAATTATGTGACATAAAAGAATCTTTTTTAATTAGCTTTCGAACTAATTACTACTTTCATTGTGAAGTGAAATTTAATTTTTTTTTTCAAATTTTTTTTTTTTTTTTTTTAACAATAATACATATGAATATTAATAATATAAACACGTATATTCAATGAAAAAGACTAATGGCTAAAAATAGGATTAAAAATAATAAAAATATAAGAAAATATCATATAATAACAAATATTATGATAATGTTAGAAGTGAGATATTTACAGTGATTACAATGAAATATTGATGAAAATGAAAAAATTAATTTAATAATTGTGAACGATATTTTCTAGACATTCGAATAATACAAAAAAAAAAAAAAAAAAACAAAAAAAAAACAAATTGTATTACATTGATTTATTACTGTAATTTTTTTTTTTATTGGGAATAATTTTAATTTATAAACTGATGATAATGATTACTACTAATAAATAATAATCATTGCTGTATTTTTATTAATTAAAAAGAATAATATTTCAGAAGAATATATTAGCAAGCAGTAAAAAAAAAAGTTAATTTCTTAATTTTCCACTAAAGAACCAATACATTTGTTAAAATTTCATAAATTGTATTAAATGTCATTAAATTACAAGTTGATGATATCAGTAGAATAAGTATTTCTATTTAATTATGGTAGATACAAAGCAATTGTAAATGTATTTCAGAAATATTTGAACCAGAAAGATATTTCAATCGAATTGCCTTTAACATAGTCTATTTATATTTTCAGAGATTCAAATAATATAATGTTTGATTGAAAAGCTTAATTAGTGTTGAAAATCTTTGAACATATAATTTACAATATTTGTACAATCTTGCCATCTTCTATATATTACGGGCAGTATTTTCTCTTTATAATTATATACAATTTTATTTTCATAGACAGCAATGCTATAAAATTGTATAAATCAAGTTTTGTGATTTTTTCGCTTAATTAATTTACAGTATTATTTTTCTTTTTCATTATAGTAGCGACACGCGCCTATGCACGCGTATATATTTTGTTTACATTGAACTGAAGCTGACTACCCTAATGGAACTGATTGCCGATTACGCATGTAAACTAATTAGTATTCTTGTACATATAATTGTATGTACAATTACTGATGCAATTTCGTGAACTGTTTAAAAAATATAATTTGTAGAAAATAATTTTAAAGATATTTACTTATCGATTGAAAAATTAAATTCTACTTGATTGTATCTTTTCTCCTAATTAAATAATTTGAAAATATTATCCTAAATATGCATTTAGAATTACATATTATTATTTAAGACTATTTAAATTATTAAGTTAATATTACTTACGCAAATGAAGATAACTTAATATAATTAAACATTAATATTTTATTTGAATATCATTATTTGAAGGTTAAATCCTTCATTAATATATTGATATATAATTTTTAGTTTAGGAAATATTTTATTTTTACCTTGGATTTCAACTGCTCGTTAACGTTATTTGCGTAGTAATATAACTTTTGTATAATTTGTACCTAACTTATTTTTACATTTAATGTTAATAATTAAATAATTACAAGAATTCATTGATTTAATAATGTTATGTCTAATGTATTATTTGTAGAAATTTTATTGCAATAAATCTATATGCAATAAATATATCGGCAATTATAACGTACTTATTCTGCACTATATGCTTGAACATTTATATAAAGATTTTTATTATAATAATATTAGTTGATAATGATATAATTTATCAACGAGTATTAATTATATGTGTTTGCTCGAACGATGACTCAATGTCGAATAAATTACTACACAGCTGAAGTCGGATGCTGTGTGTAACCGAGATATTCAGTTTTATGGGTGTGCCACTCATTTGGTCACTTTTTTGCTCTTTAAGAAACATCTTCGCATTATTATCATTTTTATTTGTGCGCATCGTTTTGACAGTAATCGATATTCTCTATGATTACAGTGGCTACAAAATGTTTAAGTCACTTTTATGTGCAGTCTTCTAGCGGATGCAAATATACGTTGACAGCCATGACTAATATATAAAAATAAATATAAATTATATTATATGATGGATATAAAATAATATTACAATTAACATTGCATCGCGTAAGAGTATAATGCAATCAAATTCTAGATAAAACTGTTTATCATTACTGTTTGCATATCGTCTTTCTATGAATCGGTAATGAAATTACAAAATAATACATATTTGTGATTTTACTAATATTAATAAAAATTATAAACTTCAATGTCATTAAAAAATATACACATATATACCTATATACCTCTATACCTATATATATATATATATATATATATATATATATATATATAATTTCAAATAAAAATAGTAAGGTTTAAATTATTTGTAATAAAATTTGATTACCCTACGATAAATTAATATAGTAAAACTATCGCGTTTAGTGAGATAAAAAATGAAAGCTCACCTGCAAGCTCGCTCCAAGAAAAAATACGGATTTGCTTTAATTTTTATAGTAAAGCCGCTGGACGTGCACATATTGACGAAGGAGCCAAGAGTTTTGGCTGATAAGAAGTATGAGGTCGAGTGTCGCAGCACAGGCTCGAGGCCTGAAGCCATTATCACTTGGTGGAAAGCCAACAAGAGAATAGACAACAAAACGAAAAATGTGAGTATCAGCGTACTCTGTGTGTAGTATAGAATGAGTATTTATTTTTATCTTTTTTGTATTTAGCTCTATGTGAATTTACTCGAGTTTATATTCCACATTTCTAATAATAGGGATATAATAAAAAATCGAATTTATTGCCATAAACTATCTAAAATATCCCAACATTAAATAAAATTTCATTTTTTTTTTTTTTTTTTTTTTTTTTTTTTTTTTTTTAAATATTGAACAAATGGAATATCGTGGTTGTAAATAAAAAATTATATCGTAGATACGTATAGTGATAATATGCTTTAAAGAGTATAATTTTATTTTTAAATTCCAGATTATCGTCAGTTTTTAAAATAATGACGTCTTCATGGCGTATTATGTTAACAGTTTGCTATTTGCTTGAAAGTATTAACGATTATCATTTGAAAATAATTGTTAATTGTGACTACAAAGCTATAAAAATAAACGTATTCGATACTTTATCAAACCCTTAAAAGTGTATACGTAAACATTTAATACATACATACAATTCATATATATATAAATGAATATTTCGAGATCATTTGCCATTTAAATTCATTATTCTTTCATCTACATTCGCCTCAACATTTTTTCCATTCCAATAATATAGTTGAACGAAACTTACGATTGATAAAATATTAAAAGTCTCGCGCTCTCGATGGATTCACTATTAACTACAGTTTTGTATTCCAAATTTAATTCATCGACACGTCGGATAAAAAAAAAAACACGTCGATACTTTAATGCACAACAATTTCACCCCAGTAGGGTCGACCGCACACATCCCACCATTTCTTTATTCGCATTCTCATACAAAACTAGGCGATGTACCATCAACTCTATTACCATTCAATCTCATCGCTCATCATCATCCATCTCTACTCCAGCGCATCGGTGGGGGCGGTGGTTCTGCCGAGTGGTGCGGATCGATTTTATCCCGCTAATGTACTTGACAGGTAGTGCAGCCGTCCAACTCCTCGCGCGCGCACACGTACACACGCGCGCGAGCACGCGAGCATTACCCGTCAAAGGAAAGCGTTGCCATACACGCATATGGCCCTCTTTCCTATATTTTCGCCAATTGCAATCAATCAATCGGAGATCGAGCACAATAGAATGTCTTTATTTTTTTTTTTTTCATTTTTCTATATAAGCCTATTTACACTTTTGGGTATAGACAGATAATTGTGTTATTATTTTCATTTTTTTATTTTGTTTATTTATTAATATTGGATGATCAATTAGTGAAATTTGTATACATTGTTTTGAAGTTTAATATTTAATTTTTTGGTTTCATAGATAGAAAAATGAATAGTCTACTGCATGAAGAATGCGAGATATTTAATAAAGAAAGTCTCATTGATCTTTGTTTTGTGAGTTATGAAAATTACACATTCGTATGCATTATTTCAAAAAATCTGTGGGTAAACAACAAACTTTAGAACTTATCGTGCTATTATTATTATTATTATTATTATTATTATTATTATTATTATTATTATTATTATTATTATTATTATTATTATTATTATTATTATTGTTGTTATCATTATTATTATTGTTATTGTTGTTGATGAACTTTATAGATTGAAAATTTTATCTCAATATACGATGCATTTTATAGTTGAAATTAAATTGAATATTCAAATTTCCAATCAATATTTCACTCCTAGTTTAAGAAAATTCAAACACATAAGAAAATATCTTCTAATATCCAATTATAAATTTGTTTCTAATTAAAGTACTTAGAAGAAGAAAGGAAATGTTTTTTTTTAACTTTCGTCTGTTAGGTGATTTACAATGATAATGTATTTTATGGACATAATTATTCTTAGGACTATGTACGAAATATTTCTAAAAAAAATTGTAAGTGAAACGCTGGCCAATAAAATTCCGACGATTGATGTACTTTAAGCATTAATTGTCAACACATATTATTAAAATAGTAGACATTAAGTAGTAATAATTCACTTATCCTTGAAAAGTTGAACAAAATTATTCAGATTATAACATTATCACTATTCTTTTTATCGCGTGTAATAAATTTTTTTTCTGAAAGCCAATGACATTCTTTCTTATCGGGGAAGAGTAAAATTTCCATAATAAAATTGTAGAAATTTAATTACTTAACATTGACTTTTCTAATTATCCAACTGAATAGTAGATGGATAGGATTCTAGATAAAGTAATGCATTATTAATAAGTTCATTTTACTATTATCAATAAGTATTTTGTATAAATATTTTTATTATATATCCAGTTTCAAATATAAATGATTATTCTTTGTAATGTGATAAAAAAATTTTTTAAGATCAAATAAAATAACCATTATACTATATCATACTACAATAATTGTTATTTAGAAGTCATTTTTGAAAATTACGGAAAAAAATTACCTAAATTATCATTACCATTTTCACTATAAAAATGATAATAATGTATTACAACATAATTGGTGTATTTCGAGTGGGTTATGAAAAATGTTATTCTTCTCTAATGAATGCACCACAGACTTATGGGAATTTAATTCTTTTAATCATTAAATTATAATGAATAATGATAATTTTTCAAATTGCTTTAACGCTTTTTCCTAAAATATAGAAATTTAAATTTTAATGCACACGAATTTTCCAATATTTGTTTGTACTATTTAATTTAATTTTTGTGTCACTTTTATTCGGCCAAATCTGTGTAAAATATGATAAATAATAACGCCGACAATAATGAACATTATTCCACTCTCTTTCAATTAGTAATTAATAAATCGATTATTTAATAGTCTTGCATAGCCGAATACTCAATTCCAACATTTAGAGGTTTAGACTTTTCACGAAGGGCTTTGGTAAGTGCTCTGAACAAAGACACCTTTCTCTCACTTTAACCTTAAATCCAATATATTTTCAATAGTATTCACGCCCATAGGCTCTTAAAATCATAAAAAATACTTCAGACTATCGATCGCCGGAAAAAAGCAGGTCCGCGTGTGACTCGAATTCAACTTGGGTGGTGTTGCTTTATCAAATGATTGGACGGCATCACGTACCGAACGTGCTTAAATTTATATACCTACCGGTTCTTATACGTACGTACGTACGTGTGCGTGTGTGTGTGCGTGTGTGTGTGTGTGTGTGTGTGCGCGCGCGCGCGCGAGCGCTCGTGTATATATCCCAAAGCAGGCTGTATGAGCACTACGGGAATGGACAAACGAATCGGTGGAAAAGGCCTAAACCAGACGAAATTTATAGAGTAAGGAAACTTCATTGGAAATGTAGGCTGCATTGGGTAAAGAGTTTCTATATTCATTTGGTGATAGTTGGTGGTAGTTGTGCTCTCGTTGGCTATTTATAGAGACTTGAATGTAGATGATCGTTCGTTCGTACGATCATAGATCGTGAGACTAACGTAAGCTCCGGCGTTCAATGGTAATTGTCTAACGTTTCTAATTATAGTTTTTACATTACAATGTCCGCGCGTCTCAGTATCAATGAAATAAATAAAATTCATATTCTGTCATTGTCGGAGTTCATTTATTTCGAGTGATATATAAGTAATTTCCAAGTAATAGGATTAGTTTTAATTCATTAATGGTATTGATGGAAAAGTACGTTGAGGCTCGAATTAGTCAATAAATAAATAATAAGCTATTTGTCAATTGAGGTATACTTAGATGAGAGGTAAATAATTTTAATAATAATGGAGTTGAAATTTTTTTTTTTCTCTCTGCATGAAATTTTATCTAATAACACTTATTGCATAGTAGTTTCTCATTTCGTATTCAATGATAAAACATTTTTATGTAATTTGGTTTATTATAGTATGTAAATTTAGATTATATGTTATTCGTTTAATAATTAGATAAGTCAAGCAACGTTAAGTATATGCGATTAAACCAGCTTACTTCAATTTTAATAATTTCCATAACCATTTAAGATAAAATATTAATTTCGCTTGCAAATTTTTAAATTTATTTTAATATAATCTTAATTTAATATTGTTAATATTATTCTTTTTTAATTTATAATTTTGCGAATTAATTGCTGGGGCCCTCCTGGCGGCGCATATAATACACGGATTTCAAATATAATTTATCAGTTTCTCGCCGTATTACTAAATTAAATGTACAAAATGTCGAATAATAACGATTCAACGTTCTCCGAGACAATTTGTATTTCGGCATTTAACAGTCATCGAGCAAGAGAAGACAAAATAATTGGCAAAATAATTGAAATATATTTATTCGCTTAAGCGTATTTTGCGAATTCCGTTAATGTATCCGGCAAAAGTCATTGGAAGATAAATATAGCGAGACATTAGAGAGGCAGTCTGGCCAATTTAGGGGAGGGGCATTAGTTTTAAAAGTAAAGCGCCTATTCAGCCAATGCGAAGAAGCCATTGCATTTAAGGAAATGAATTTAATTTGGGCCTTGCTCGACATTATTATTATTTGGCCTAGGTAATGAGTCAACGGTTGGCCCACCAACTGTCCTCGATTGCCCCAAGATCTCGCTTCGCCCTAGAAAGGTCAATAATAAGTCTTTCTCTCACGTTGCAGTATGCGTCGGAGAACAATCAGAGCCTCAGCATCCTTAGCTTCGTGCCGAGCATCGACGACGATGGCAAATACCTCACGTGCAGGGCCGAAAATCCGAATATTCCCGACAGCGCTCTCGAGGATAAATGGCATTTGGACGTGCAGTATCAACCCGTGGTGAGCTTGCGGATGGGGACTTCCTTAAAACCCGACGATATTAAAGAGGGGGATGACGTCTACTTCGAGTGCATCGTTCGAGCCAATCCAAAGGCCTACAAGCTCTCATGGTTCAAAGATGTAGGTTGCATTTTCGACCCTTGCGTACACTCAATGCATCTTCTTCTTCTTCATCTTCCTCGTCTTCCTCCTCGCCCTCCTCTTCTTCTGTCGAATTTTCTTTTCTTTTTTTTTTTTTTTTATCTCTCATGGGCTTTTTCGTGGCGAAGGAGGTTCTAAGATTTAGCGTCGAGCCGTAGTTTCGAAAGAGTTTTAATTAAAGACTGATAATAGACCAAGCCGTACGGATGCAATTATGATTAATTAAAAAATTTTTATTTTCCATGGCTACGTCTTCTACAGGAGATGAACATTAATTATTTATTCCGAAGATCGATTGTTACGGTTGAAAAACAATAAAATTTATCTCTCCCGCCGACAACGGTGTTATTTCGATCGATCATTCGATTGAAACGATTCGATTATTTTAAAACAATAAGATTTACAATTATGCACAAGCACATGTAAATGTGCGCGTGTTTATAACGTTAAATTAATCTTAAATATAAAAATATCTTCGATACATTTTCCCTCAAAAGATTTCTAAATTCCTTAAACTAAACTCAATCTACCAAGCTCGAAGCGCACTTTTAACGACACAATCAATGCATGAAAATGAAATTGCCTTGCATATCATATCACACAGCATTATGTTTTTCAGGCAAAGGAATTAAAAAATAATGCGTCGTTAGGCGTGGTGTTGAGCGACCGTTCGTTAGTTCTTCAACGTATAACTCGTTATTCAGCAGGCGACTACACGTGTCTGGCCGTCAACAGCGAGGGAAAAACAATCAGTAATCCCGTGCCTCTTCGCATCAAGTGTGAGTAATTACAAATTTGTCACTTATCATCCTTCTACAATCACATAAGGGAGGTTCAATTTTTCGAGGTGTAGTCGCGTTATAGCATGGACATCTTGTTAAGCAAGCGGAGAGTCATTAAGGCCAGAAGGCGAGGCCGAAGATAATCATGATTGCAGTTGTATTAAAGCTCTAGTTATACTTTGTTAACAGCGATTAATAGTTTAATAATTTTGATAAATGAGATATTTAACGAGCCTTTTAATAACGCGATTAAGTAATTTTAACCACCCCTCCCCGTTATCCTCTACATACGCGCGCGCACCACTCGCCACCACGACAAAACACGCGCGTACAAACGTGTGTATCATGAAATAAAATGAAATTCAACATTACGAGCAATTATATTCATCAAATTCTTCGTCTGAGAAATATAATCTAAAATATTATTAATTATATTTATTGGTCATCATATCAATCGCGACGTCCTTTGTAACAGCTAGTTGCGATCGATTAAACAATTAACTAATCACTCAGTCAATGAATCATTAGATACATTAATCACGTCATTTAGCACGTGCAAAACTGCTTCATATATCTTCTTGATATATGTAATTTTGTGAATATATATTCTCCTCATAAATTAATATTTAATTATCGAATTAAATAATATAACTGATTGATTATAATATATATATATATATATATATGTATCATGTATTATATAACCACAAGTCATTTCAGTGCACACACTAATGCCAATACGTTACAAGTTTAGAATAAAATTTACTCATAGCTGGTATTAAATTAATAACTGCCATTATAATATAATATTGTACAATATGTAACTACGTACAATATTGTTAAAAAGTATTTTTTCAACTTTGTCAATAAAATAAATTAAATTCCCTATCTTGGGATAGAAATTTATATTTTGTAATCGGAGCTTGTAAAACAATTATTTCACTAGATTAGTGAATTAGTATCATGAAATAACAAGTACTTGATACAAAGATTTTCTCCTCTACTCTTTATAATCGAGAATTTTCAAGTCTTGTATAAGAAAAAAAAAAAAAAAAAAAAAAAAAAAAAAAAAAAAAAAAGGAAAAAAAAAAAAAAAAGAAAAAGAAAAATAAGAAGCGTAATAGGAATTTCGAGCCGATTTTGAGGGAAAAACACTGGTATGCGAACTACATTCTATTAAAATTACTATTACCCCCTCGGCGGTACTTCAGCCCCTTTATTCTCATTTCTATCCGTCTCGCTCTATCCCCCCCCCTCACTCTCTCGTTCTCTCTCTCTCTCTCTCTCTCTCTCCCTCTATTTCTCCTCGTATCTTCATCTTGTAAATGACCTAAGAGGGAAGGAAGGACCGCGATGCATATTCAATGTATGTAAAATGCACGGCTGAATATTCATGTATAGGTGAACGTTGCCTGGCAATGCGCTAAGCCACACGGGAAGGCGAATACGAGCCGAGACTCTGGCAGTTGTATAGGCGATAGTGAGTATCGGGAGGAGTAACAGCGACAGCATCAGACGATGTTTGGTGCTATATAGACACCGTTGTAATCTTTACATTAGCCCATTTGGCAATAGAACTCGATTGTCTCCAGGGGTACGGATCCTTCAATTAGCACTGCGAGGAGTTGGTCCTTGTCACTAAAAATATCCTCTATCGTCGATCGGGTACTACTACCTACACTCGCGGGATGCGCCACTTACTGCTAATCGTTATATTTTTCTCCTGTGAGAATCGTGCTTTTGACAATGACTTTTTAGTCAAATTAATGGCTCAGCCGACGCGTTATTCGGATTTTCGAGCTCCAGCGCATTGACAAGCTACGAGTTATACAGATGCATACATACATGATCGGGTATGACAAGCGTCTTATGTCGGATCTTCGGGCCATCTTCCGATGCTCCTCGCACCTGACATACGCCACTTAACCTATAATCCTATTTGAGGGACGTCCATTTATCCGTTAATCGAATGTATCTTGCCAATTGAATGGATGCAGGTGAGCTCGGGGCTCGACGTCAGTGCGCCTCTGCGTAACTGTATATGTACACCGAGGCTCTCTCGCCGTCGAGATCAGAGATCATAAATCGCCGTGGGTGCCGTCTGGGACTTTTGCGTGCCTGCGTGGGCACGTGGATCGTATTGGTGTGGGATGGGTCGAGCTACATATCGCCGTCGAGTTGGACGAAATTTTCAAAGTGCACTCGAGGGAGATGCAGATTCAAGGATATATAATGTTCGAGCACTTTACTTGTAAATTGAGAATCGAAATTGATTTCAACCGAAGAAAATATGAGCTTTGACAAATACTTATTCAGACATTAAATTCGTTCTACATGCCGCTATGTAATGCCACCTTACTTCAGACAGACATGCACATTGTCCTTTTAAAGTATTATCTATAAAGTATAAATTATTATTTTTGAAATAAGCGAGGCTCGTTTATCGTGAGATTGAAAAACAAATGTGCATATGGATATTAAAGATGATAAAGGCTTATTTGATTATATAATTATATTATCGTATAAGCAGTGAAATGAGATGTCAAAGCTCTATTTAAACAAATGTGCGTTATTTTACTGTGATCGATGGGATTGTTACGAATCTATTTCAGAATTACGTTAAATACGAAAAAAGATTTAGAATGGTGGATGGAAAAGTATTCAAAACTTTCAAATCGCTTTTACAAGATCTTTCCTTGAATTGTTGTTTGACTTCTTCGGATATCGACTTCTTTAACTACTTGAGAACTCGAGATTATTTAAAAGTTTAAATAATCGGAATTATTTATCTATCAATTTATAACTTTATCCGATATTATAAAACGGCACTAAAGATAAAAAAAAAAAAAAGAAAAAAAAAACTAAATGTAATTATATTCAATTAAATTTAGCGTAATTCTTGGAAATTACAGGTCAAATTGAGTTAATAATAACACCTTAAAATAAGATTACAAAGCTTTGTAATTTTGTAGCGAGTTAAACATAAGAAAATCGTTAAAACTTACACAGCAACTAAACGCTGTGTGTTAGTTCTGCATGCAGCACATTAGACAGACACGCGCGCACGCACGCACGCGCGCACATTTATATTTCAACACTTATCATTAATTTTCTTACGGATTTTTATTATTCACATATTATTAGAAAATAATTAATAACACCAAATAGGAAATAATTTGTAATCAATAAGCCGCAAAATGTCAAAAAACAAATACAAATCATGACGAATCATGACAAGTCATTAAAATTGATTTCAAGCTCTATGGAAAGTAGATGATTATATAAGCAAAGGCATTGTACTATGGCATGGTTGCCAACTGCCAACTATTGGTAAAAATCGTTTGGTCTGGTGGATCAGCATAGGTGCCGAAGCCATAATAAAGTGCTTCTGAGTTCGTAAGAACTTTTTGTATGAATGGGTCTGTCGTAAAAAAGAGACTTCAATACCAGAATAGGTTTCGCGTAGGAAAAAGTCATTAAAACGTTTTTCCCGGTTCATAAAAGTCTTTGAATAGCCGAACTTGTGCGATAAAAACAACTTCATGATGAAAAGAATACTACACGTATTTGTGGATACTTAATTACTTTTACGTATCGGAAGATGTCACAAAAAGTGATAAAAATTAAATTAATACTACTTTCATTTGAAAATTGCTTCTCAAGTATAGAAGAGCGTTAAATTAAAGCAGTTATATATGCTGAATTAAGACTTTCCCAAAACTACTTGCGCACTTAATATATAATCGTAATTATTATCCACTGGCAATATTATCATTATGCAGTTAAATATAATCTCGTTTTGGCCGTTGGGCACATTAGTAGTTAAAGACATTCAACTCGTCGGTTTCGCGTCCGACAGTCCAATTGGAAAATGTAGGAGCTATTGGACTCGGCCAAATGTATAAACAAGGCCCATTGCCTCTTTTGCAGACTCGCCCGTTTGTAAGGAAGGAAAACACGAGCTGGTGGTAGGTGCACTGAAACAGGAGACTGTATCGCTCATCTGCTCGGTCGAGTCCCATCCGCCTCCCTTGACCTTTCATTGGACGTTCAATAATTCCGGCGAATTGATCGAAGTGCCGCAGTCGCGCTATTCCCACGTGACCGCCACAGCTACCGGTAGTCCCTCCACGCAGCATCATCATCAGCAGTATCAGCAGCAACAACAGCAGCAACAACAGCAGCAGCAACAACAACAACAGCAGCAGCAGCAGCAGCAGCAGCAGCAGCAGCAGCATCAACAGTCGGAAATTCAGATAAAAGAGTATCAGCAGTTTCACGGATCGCGCATGAACTACACACCCTCGACGGAAATGGATTACGGGACTGTCGCCTGTTGGGCCAGCAATCAAGTTGGCAAGCAGCGCTCACCCTGTCTTTTTCAGGTAATCTAAATCTATATGACGTCTCTCTTGATCAGAGTTAACTAATAAAGTGCTGCTGATAAGCTTGTAGCCTGCTCATGTTTAAAGATACTACGCACCTTTACGGCTACAATTGTAGTTTCCAATAATATTCAATATTCGCGCTTGCGTTGCCTCGGTTTTTCGTCTTTTGTATTTTTCTTTTTTATTTTCTTGAATTTTCTCGACTTGATAAGAGTTCGGAGGGAGTGAAAAATCACTGGATAATACACGTGACTTCTCGTAGTGGCTCAGATCGGCAATTAATGTACGCTATTCGATGCTCTCAACTATCCAGCATCACATTAAAATCTCTCTGTTTAATGAATGTATCTTATTCAAGTAATTTTACGAGGATCGTAAGCCTAATAAAATTTACCGACGATTTACAATGACCCTGTGCCTGTCAATGCTAACGCGACAAACAGTCATCCTCATCAATATTAACATGGGCGTATGCAATCATGCGAAAACTTTGCCCGACACAGGTTATAGCAGCCGGCCGGCCCTACGCCTTGCATAACTGCACGGCGACGGAGATGTCGTCGACGACCGAGCTGGACGATCCGAGCTTAGCCAAGGCCAGCGTCAGCAGCTCCACGGGCCTGCTTGTCCATTGCCTCGAGGGCTACGACGGCGGCTTGCCCATCCAGAGCTATCACGTTGAGGTGGTGGCGGACGAGGAGGAGGGACGGATTATCCTTAATAAGACGGTGCTCGCCACGACGAGCGGACCGTCGATCGAAGTTGCCGGTCTCTCCACCGGACGCAGTTACCGGCTGTTCTTGTACGCGGCTAATGCCAAGGGAAGAAGCGAGGCGGCGATCCTCGAGCCCGTCACCCTCAAAGGCGTCGCCATGTACACGACGGGTAAGCGACCTCGACATTATTTCAATCGATCCTTTTAATCTCCGAGCCTCTCTGCCCCGACTATACGATTGGCATCCGAGATTTGCCCCCGCGGCGCTCATCGACGCGCACCGTCCCCTCGATTTTCGCGTCGCCCGAGGCTGGGTGACGAATCTAACATTGCTGCCCTCAGTGCTAATGAAAAGTCCATGACTCTAAAAGGCTATGCTGATGGATCGATCGAGGACACGCGTTATGATATGCCAAGAGCAACTTGATCGCGAGCAACTTGATGACGAGACGAGGACGTAGCTGATGACGCCCCCCCCCCACCTCACCCACCTCTCCCACCACTCCCACCTACCCCCAATGCCCAAATAAATCTTATTAAGGAAGTACGGGATTTGGATGGGATATGGACCAGGCGAAATACCAATTAATTTGTTTATTAAATAAGCCGTCGTAAAATGCGTCATGCCCCGGGCAAATTCAATAAAGCCCTTGGACTCTGCCCGCGCGTTTTACTTATTGGGCGACCGGTAAATGCTCGCCGGCGGAAAACAAATTCACGCACCGGCCGGTGACCAAATCAAGACCAATTCGCCGCTCGGGATGCGATGCAATTGATAGCGCCGACCAACTGCCGCATATGATAGCAATTGCACAAATAGTACGACTAGTGCGTAGTCAGTATTGCAATTAGTCGGTTAACCAAGCATCCGCGACTGTCTCTCTTGCGCCTGGAAGCCGTTGGAAGGTTGGGCTCGCGCGAGCGAGTGTCGGTCGAATGCGGGTGGGCGCTGCTCGTGGTGGAGCGGCAGGGACGAGACCGCAGGTATTGGGCACTGCAGACCCCCGGCAATTAACAAAACAGATTACTCTCAATCAACGAATAGCCAGTGAGGTGCGCACGGCACCACTGGACTTTCGATCACCACTGGGGCCACGGCTCGGCTTAGCCGTCCTCTCGGCCTTATCCCGCCCGAGGGCTAACCTTACCGCGGATCAGGGTTAATGGTCGCAGGTCCTCGCCTCGCTCCTCCAGCCACGCATTACGGATTTTGTTATTCCGGGATAATGAGTGGCGGTTGGCTACTTCGAATTTATCGAGCACCGCGGCGTAGGCGTTGCCATTCTCGTTGGGTCTCTGATAATTCGCTTTGTTCTTTATATCTTTTTTTTTTGTTTTTTTTTTTGTTTTTGTTTTTTTGTTTTAACTTTTACGCAACGTTGTCCACAACGACGGGATAAACGATTATTTGCATTTTTAATTAGGTAATGCGAGCAGTCCAAGTCGAATACATATGCGATTTGTAGTTGGCTTTGATGGTAATACTATTATTAAATGGATGTAAAGATGAAGAGAGAGAGAGAGAGCGAGAGAGAGCGAGGCCTTTTTAACCCTATACAATGAGATTTTGCGTTGTTGCGTTTTTGTTCCATTCCTTTTTTTTCAAGCGAGAGCTTCATTACTTCAAGTTTGCCGGCCGAACCTCTGCTTTCGTACCAACCTTCATACCGCTTAAGCTAATTTAAAACAAAAAGTGTGTAATTATGATTATTTATTACGGACGACGTATGTATAACCATATAAATTATATGGCGGAATTTTCACAATAATGACTTTAGATGTGAATGAAGGAAAAAGACAATAATAGAAATCACAATAATAAAAACGACAAAACTCGTTAAAATTATTACAGCAATTTGGTAAATCTTACGATATGAAAAAAGTAATAAAATCCATTTGAATTCTGATATTTGTGCAGCAAATATGTCATTATTTGATTTAGCAACAAATGTTATGTTAATGCGGAGCGTAGAATACGCGAAATACTATGTAAATAGAAATATTTGGAAACTGTACAAGTAAATTAAATAGAAATTTTTCCTGCAAATAATTAACTTAAACTGATTTAATGCAAGTGCGTTTGTTTCTCGACAGTTTATTTATCATCAATTTAATTACTCGATGAACGTTTTACATAAAATCACGTGATTTATTAACTAATAACTCACAATTTATTTTTTGATTATATATTCATTGTTCTTCCTTTCTCTCTCTCTCTCTCTCTCTCTCTCTCTCTCTCTCTCTCTCTCTATCTCTCTCTCTCTCTCTCTCTCTATCTCTCTCTCTCTCTCTCTCTCTATCTCTCTCTCTCTCTCTCTCTCTATCTCTCTCTCTCTCTCTCTCTCTATCTCTCTCTCTCTCTCTCTCTCTATCTCTCTCTCTCTCTCTCTCTCTATCTCTCTCTCTATCTCTCTATATATCTATCTCTATCTCTCTATCTCTCTCTATCTCTATCTCTCTATCTCTATCTCTATCTCTATCTATCTATCTTTCTATCTATCTATCTTTCTATCTTTCTATATAATTTTCTTTCATTCTTTCTTCCTTTATTGGCATTACATTGAAATTTATACCGACATTTTATTTAATCGTATTAAATGAAAAAGTATACGCCTAAAAATTCAATTTCACCGTAAAATCCACCGTAAAATGTATGTAAAGAGAAATCCGTTTCATCGAGCCATTTATCATTAACTTTACACTGTTGTACGTTAATCGAGGTCAACAAATTAATTTTTAAAGTGACAGCGCGCGTGATGTGCATCATTAATCTCGCGCGTTAATTCGTTTCCGACGGCTCTGGGGCTCCCTGTCTCGCCTAGGTCCTCTGTGTCATCCGTTTGGCAGGGGAGTGGAATGAAGCGTTGTGGGGTGGGGTTATACTTTGCCCCCTTCTCTCCGCCATTCCATTGTACAGGAGCAAGTCGCAGTTCTTAATCTTTCGACTGCAGATGTAAGCACACGAAGATGGGCAATGTTTCCCCGATGTCCGGGGTAGTCCTCGATGCGCCTCCGCAGCCTCACAAAGAGAATCACGGCTTGTTTGATATTTGACAAATTGCCATCAACGCGTCGCTGCAATGGAAGTTGTGTAAACAACGGGAAGCCGCGACTCGGTTTACCCGCTTTGGCAGACGCGGCAAATACTCGTCTTTCATTCCCTGACCAATCGGACGTAAATGCGCCGCAAATTCGGTAAGGGCTTTTATTTACGGCGCCGCGCCACGTTTTCCCCTCGTCGGGCGGGCCTTGCACAATGGACCCGAGGAGACGCTGGCCCGGGGCAAATTATCGATGACGAAACGCTGGCCAATAGAAAGGAGCGCAGCTAATCTTGGTGACGTCACGAATGTTATTGCGCGCGGTCGCGAGTATTATAATCGAAGGGCCACTGGCTTCGAGCCTTGCTCCAATGGGGAATTCTCTGGAGAATTTGCTCTTTAGAATGCTGATTGCTTGGATAAAGTAGGGAAGAATAGGGCGCGACGACTCTTAATATTTGGAGAATGAGGGGAGACGACTCGAATGTGCGATTCCTCCTAGTCTTTGCCGCTACGTGAAATATTTTATATTGTTGCGTGTGCCTTATAAAACTTCCATTAAAAAGAATCTCCCACTGTTTTAATAAATACTATATGAAATAAAAATTGTTATTGTTATTATTATTAGTATTATTATTAGTGTTGTTGCTGTTGCTGTTGCTGTTGCTGTTGCTGTTGCTATTTTTGTTGTTGTTGTTGTTGTCGTCGTCGTCGTCGTCGTCGTCGTCGTCGTCGTCGTCTTCGTCGTCGTCGTTATTGTTGTCGTTGCTACTGCTGATACTATTTTTAATGTTACTTTCTATGAATAAACTTAATTGTTAGGCATAATTTTTCGGAAATACCATTGTTCTATTATTGCTCGATGAGATGTATATCATCAGTGTATTGTTGTAAACATTGTGAGGATTTAATAAATATTTTGCGACTGCTTTTTATAACGCTATCTACGTATATTTACGGCCTCAATAGAGAATGTAGCCAGTTGCTCGACACACTGAATCAACTATTCCCGATATAAAGGAATAAAAAAATTATCAATCAGTTATTAAAGCGAGTATAATTTATTCAATGTTTCTTACAGAACTGTCGCTTATCACATAATTATTACTTGGCGCTGCTCGCTCGAGCGGAACAACTGCCTAACAAAAGCTTCCATATCCATAAACTTCCTTTTATCCTCCTTTCGTCTCATGTGCGTCTGTCTCACAGGACCTCATTTTATTATCCATGTCGTACCCCCAAAAGTAACTTTCCCAGTTATAACTCTTCCACTTGTCGATAAAACGGCTTCCTCCTTTGCCCATTGTCCATGACCCGCGCATATGCATATCGGTGCATTGACGGCGCAGTAGTGTGCAAATATCGCAATACAATCAAAATCTTACGTTATTTCAAATCATATTTCATGTTATAAATGCATCTAATTGAGTTTATTAGCAAATGATAAAGCGTGTCGAGCAGCAGTAAACCCTTATTAAATCATTTAAATGCCACGACAGTTCGACAAACGCAAGTTATGTATAAAGTCAACATAAGTCATAACATAAGAAAAATTGCGAACAAAAAGTACGTGCAATGATGGAGGAAAAATTGAAATAACATTAAATCATATTGTTTTACCTTACGATTGTCTTACCTTCAATAGCCCCATCAACTCGTACTTGAAAATTATTAACGGAGATAAATATTTTAGACGCTTTAGTTTTCTAATTTTGTCGACAATCTTTCTCAATAATAAATATATATGAATATGATTGTAGTATATTGTTTATTATATAGTCATAAGTTCATATTTTACAATCATTAATTAACTAGAAATAATGTTTTTGTTAAAATTCTAATATTATATCGTATTATAAACCAAATGGTCATTGATAATTTCATAAATTTCAAATTAAAAGTAATGTAAAATAGTTATTTCACTGAGAAATACTTTAATTTCTTACCATTATAAATTCTATCCAATCATAACTCGGAGGATTTTTTCAGTAATTATTATCATACCGCATTTTTCGTCTTCCTTTCGTAACATGAATAAGTTTCCGTAGAGGTGTTCATAAATTTAAAAGGCATTGGTATTTTCATATTTGTTTCATATTTGCAAACTCTATACACTATCTGCGTTTGTG